CCCCCCTCTGCCAATCCCTCCACTGGCTTCCGATTGCGCAACGGATCAAATTCAAAATCCTAACCTCCTCCCATGCCCGCCTCCAGGACTTCTCCAGGGTGTCACCCATCCTCTGGAACTCCCTGCCCCAACCCATCAGATTATCACCTACTCTCCTCTCCTTTAGGCGCACCCTGAAAACCCACCTCTTCAGGGAAGCCTACCCCACCCCCTGCTAACCTGCCGACCTCCTCCACTCTTCCTACCACTCCATCCCCCACAGCTATCTCCTCCTGTGCCACCATCCCCTCCCTCCTATATTGTAAGCTCGAAAGAGCAGGGCCCTCGATCCCCTCATGTTTTGCATTGTATTGTTATTGTTCTGTCACATGTTCTTTCCCCCTTTGTAATGTACAGCGCTGAACGAACTATCGGCGCTTTATAAATACTGTATAATAATAATAATACTAGTAATGACAGTGATCAGCGACTTAGGGCGTGTGTTGAAGCGAATGGCAGCAGAGCCGGGGCGGCGCACGTGCATGACCTCCTACCCGAGTCGGATCCAGGGGCGGACTGACCATTTGGAAACTCGGGCACTGCCCGAGGGCCAGGGGTCAGCAGGGGGCCCCATGAGATGCCCCTGGTACCTTTTTCAGTTTGGGCAAGTTTTTGAGTTTGGGCAAGGACACAGGGGCCCCATGATCCCCTATTGCCCAGGGGCCCCATGAGTTGTCAATCCGCCTCTGTCAGGGGGTATGACAGCGGGCAGTACGTATGGAAGAGCTTCAGGGTATGACAGCGGGCAGTACGTATGGAAGAGCTCAGAGGGTATGACAGTGGGCAGTATGTGAAGGATGAGCTCAGAGGGTATGACAGTGGGCAGTATGTGAAGGATGAGCTCAGAGGGTATGACAGCGGGCAGTACGTATGGAAGAGCTCAGAGGGTATGACAGTGGGCAGTATGTGAAGGATGATCTCAGAGGGTATGACAGTGGGCAGTATGTGAAGGATGAGCTCAGAGGGTATGACAGCGGGCAGTACGTATGGAAGAGCTCAGAGGGTATGACAGTGGGCAGTATGTGAAGGATGAGCTCAGAGGGTATGACAGTGGGCAGTATGTGAAGGATGAGCTCAGAGGGTATGACAGCGGGCAGTATGTGAAGGATGAGCTCAGAGGGTATGACAGCGGGCAGTATGTGAAGGATGAGCTCAGAGGGTATGACACTGGGCAGTATGTGAAGGATGAGCTCAGAGGGTATGACAGCGGGCAGTATGTGAAGGATGAGCTCAGAGGGTATGACAGCGGGCAGTATGTGAAGGATGAGCTCAGAGGGTATGACAGCGGGCAGTATGTGAAGGATGAGCTCAGAGGGTATGACAGCGGGCAGTATGTCAAGGATGAGCTCAGAGGGTATGACAGCGGGCAGTATGCATGGAAGAGCTCAGAGGGTATGACAGCGGCTTTTTTGAGTTTGGACAAGGACACAGGGGCCTCATGATCCCCTATTGCCCAGGGGCCCCATGAGTTATCAGTCCCTCCCTGGTCGGATCACGTACATGTATGCAATTCGGCGCAGTGGGGCCAACTGCTTAAAAATAATATCTTGCATACTAGCTCGGCTGTATCTCCCCTTCTCACTGATTGTATTCCATGGGGGTCATTTACTAAACTCAAACAGACTGTGCACTCTGCAAGTGCAGTTGCTCCAGAGCTTAGTAAATGAGGGGACTTCCATCAACCAATCATGCGCAAGCGAAAAATGCTGTTTTTTATTTTCCTGCATGTGATTGGGAATTCTTCGCTAAGTGAAGCTTCCCCTTAGCAAAGAATACTCTGGACCAGGGGCGGACTGACCATTTGGAAACTTGGTCACTGCCCGAGGGCCCGGGGTCAGTAGGGGGCCCCATGAGATGCCCCTGGTACCTTTTTCATAGGCTTTTTTGAGTTTGGGCAAGGACACAGGGGCCCCATGATTCCCTATAACCTGGGGGCCCCATGAGTTGTCAGTCCGCCCCTGCTCTGGAGTAACTGCACTTGCAAAGTACACAGTCTATTTGTCTTTAGTAAACCAACCCCCATATGTACAAATTGTGGACCGAGATAACTAAACCTCGTTGCCGGCTTAGCCTTGGAGTAAAGATTAGGGGAATAAATTGCTATGGTGGATTTACAAGGTTTTTGTTTTCATGTTTGCTCAGAGTACTCTTCAGGGAAGCCTACCCCACCCCCTGCTAACCTGCCGACCTCCTCCACTCTTCCTACCACTCCATCCCCCACAGCTATCTCCTCCTGTGCCACCATCCCCTCCCTCCTATATTGTAAGCTCGAAAGAGCAGGGCCCTCGATCCCCTCATGTTTTGCATTGTATTGTTATTGTTCTGTCACATGTTCTTTCCCCCTTTGTAATGTACAGCGCTGAACGAACTATCGGCGCTTTATAAATACTGTATAATAATAATAATACTAGTAATGACAGTGATCAGCGACTTAGGGCGTGTGTTGAAGCGAATGGCAGCAGAGCCGGGGCGGCGCACGTGCATGACCTCCTACCCGAGTCGGATCCAGGGGCGGACTGACCATTTGGAAACTCGGGCACTGCCCGAGGGCCAGGGGTCAGCAGGGGGCCCCATGAGATGCCCCTGGTACCTTTTTCAGTTTGGGCAAGTTTTTGAGTTTGGGCAAGGAAACAGGGGCCCCATGATCCCCTATTGCCCAGGGGCCCCATGAGTTGTCAATCCGCCTCTGTCAGGGGGTATGACAGCGGGCAGTACGTATGGAAGAGCTTCAGGGTATGACAGCGGGCAGTACGTATGGAAGAGCTCAGAGGGTATGACAGTGGGCAGTATATGAAGGATGAGCTCAGAGGGTATGACAGTGGGCAGTATGTGAAGGATGAGCTCAGAGGGTATGACAGCGGGCAGTACGTATGGAAGAGCTCAGAGGGTATGACAGCGGGCAGTATGTGAAGGATGAGCTCAGAGGGTATGACAGCGGGCAGTACGTATGGAAGAGCTCAGAGGGTATGACACTGGGCAGTATGTGAAGGATGAGCTCAGAGGGTATGACAGTGGGCAGTATGTGAAGGATGAGCTCAGAGGGTATGACAGCGGGCAGTACGTATGGAAGAGCTCAGAGGGTATGACAGTGGGCAGTATGTGAAGGATGAGCTCAGAGGGTATGACAGTGGGCAGTATGTGAAGGATGAGCTCAGATATGACAGCTCAGAGGGTATGACACTGGGCAGTATGTGAAGGATGAGCTCAGAGGGTATGACAGCGGGCAGTATGTGAAGGATGAGCTCAGAGGGTATGACAGCGGGCAGTATGTGAAGGATGAGCTCAGAGGGTATGACAGTGGGCAGTATGCATGGAAGAGCTCAGAGGGTATGACAGCGGCTTTTTTGAGTTTGGACAAGGACACAGGGGCCTCATGATCCCCTATTGCCCAGGGGCCCCATGAGTTATCAGTCCCTCCCTGGTCGGATCACGTACATGTATGCAATTCGGCGCAGTGGGGCCAACTGCTTAAAAATAATATCTTGCATACTAGCTCGGCTGTATCTCCCCTTCTCACTGATTGTATTCCATGGGGGTCATTTACTAAACTCAAACAGACTGTGCACTCTGCAAGTGCAGTTGCTCCAGAGCTTAGTAAATGAGGGGACTTCCATCAACCAATCATGCGCAAGCGAAAAATGCTGTTTTTTATTTTCCTGCATGTGATTGGGAATTCTTCGCTAAGTGAAGCTTCCCCTTAGCAAAGAATACTCTGGACCAGGGGCGGACTGACCATTTGGAAACTTGGTCACTGCCCGAGGGCCCGGGGTCAGTAGGGGGCCCCATGAGATGCCCCTGGTACCTTTTTCATAGGCTTTTTTGAGTTTGGGCAAGGACACAGGGGCCCCATGATTCCCTATAACCCGGGGGCCCCATGAGTTGTCAGTCCGCCCCTGCTCTGGAGTAACTGCACTTGCAAAATACACAGTCTATTTGTCTTTAGTAAACCAACCCCCATATGTACAAATTGTGGACCGAGATAACTAAACCTCGTTGCCGGCTTAGCCTTGGAGTGAAGATTAGGGGAATAAATTGCTATGGTGGATTTACAAGGTTTTTGTTTTCATGTTTGCTCAGAGATTATAGCTTACATTTGAAAAGACGAAATCCCTTTCAGAAGAGACCTGTAACTAATCCTCGTATTTTATTTATACTGCATGTATCTACAGCCAGAACCCGTACAGAAAGGCCAAACGTTTGTGGTTACCCGACTATTACACTTAGACCTTGATCACATAGGTGGGGGGGGTGGTAAAAACAGGCGGTTAAGTCACAGCTTTACAGGCCTCCACCGAAAGGATAACACGCACCAACCTGGTCTCAATAATATCAATCAAACTGCTCTCTTCGATCCTCCTGAGACCTTCTGCTCTCTAGTTTCTCCTCCCATGCCCGCCTCCAGGACTTCTCCTGAGCTTCTCCCATCCTATGGATCTCTCTACCCCAATCGGTCTCATAATCTATGCACCTTTAGATGATCCCTGATAACCTTTCTCTTTAACCCCCCTGGCGGTATTCCTGAGTGTAGCTCGGGGTAAAGTTTCAGCACCACAAGCGGTAACCCCCCCCCCGAGCTACACTCGGGAATACACTGCAGCGCTGATCCGGGATCTCTTCTGCACTTACCTTGTCCTTCGTTCCCGCGATGTCCCTCCTGCAGTGTCCCCTGTAATGTCCTCCGGTCGATGCCGACATCCGTCTTCCGGGTTCCGTCCCCTGCGACGTCGGGACGTACGGGGGACGGAACAGGCGGGAAATTTAAAAATTTTAAAAAGTGACATTCACTAAATACACTAAAATCACATAGTATAACATTCCTGTATCAAACCATTTCACATACATTTTGTCCCGAGTGCTTTGTCCGGCGCCCTGCCTGCATTTTTACTGTTCTTTCTGCCTGGAAACTGAGAGAGAGCAGATATAGAGAATGCAGGGTCCGGTGAGACCAGATATAGTGAATGCAGGGTCCAGTGAGACCAGATATAGTGAATGCAGGGTCCGGGGAGACCAGATATAGTGAATGCAGGGTCTGGGAGACCAGATATAGTGAATGCAGGGTCCGGTGAGACCAGATATAGTGAATGCAGGGTCCGGGGAGACCAGATATAGTAGTGAATGCAGGGTCCAGGGAGACCGGATATAGTGAATGCAGGGTCTGGGGAGAGCAGGATATAGTGAATGCAGAGTCCAGGGAGACCGGATATAGTGAATGCAGGGTCCGGGGAGACCGGATATAGTGAATGCAGGGTCCAGGGAGAGACCGGATATAGTGAATGCAGGGTCCGGGGAGAGCGGATATAGTGAATGCAGGGTCCAGGGAGAGAAAGGATATAGTGAATGCAGGGTCCGGGGAGACCGGATATAGTGAATGCAGGGTCCGGGGGAGACCGGATATAGTGAATGCGGGGTCGGGGGAGACCAGATATAGTGAATGCAGGGTCCGGGGAGACCAGTTATAGTGAATGCAGGGTCCGGGGAGACCAGATATAGTGAATGCAGGGTGTGGGGAGACCAGTTATAGTGAATGCGGGGTCCGGGGAGAGCGGATATAGTGAATGAGGGGTCCAGGGAGAGCAGATATAGTGAATGCAGGGTCCTGGGGGAACAGATATAGTGAATGCAGGGTCCGGGGGGAGCAGATATAGTGAATGCAGGGTCCGGGCAGACCAGTTATAGTGAATGCAGGGTCCGGGGAGAGCGGATATAGTGAATGCAGGGTCCTGGGTGGAGCAGATATAGTGAATGCAGGGTCCGGGGGGAGCAGATATAGTGAATGCGGGTCCTGGGGGAGCAGATATAGTGAATGCGGGGTCCCGGGGGAGCAGATATATAGTGAATGCAGGGTCCAGGGAGACCAGATATAGTGAATGCAGGATCCGGGGGGAGCAGATATAGTGAATGCAGGGTCTGAGGAGACCAGATATAGTAAATGCAGGGTGCGGGGAGAGACCGGATATAGTTAATGCAGGGTCCGGGGGAGCAGATATAGTGAATGCAGGGTCCGGGGGGAGCAGATATAGTGAATGCAGGGTCCGGGGAGACCAGTTATAGTGAATGCAGGGTCCTGGGGGAGCAGTTATAGTGAATGCAGGGTCCGGGGGGAGCAGATATAGTGAATGCGGGGTCCTGAGAGACCGGATATAGTGAATGCGGGGTCCGGGGGGAGCAGATATAGTGAATGCAGGGTCCGGGGGAGACCAGATATAGTGAATGCAGGGTCCGGGGGGAGCAGATATAGTGAATGCAGGGTCCCGGGGAGACCGGATATAGTGAATGCAGGGTCCTGGGGGAGCAGATATAGTGAATGCAGGGTCCAGGGGGAGCAGATATAGTGAATGCAGGGTCTGAGGAGACCAGATATAGTAAATGCAGGGTGCGGGGAGACCGGATATAGTGAATGCAGGGTCCAGGGGGAGCAGATATAGTGAATGCAGGGTCCGGGGAGACCGGATATAGTGAATGCTGGGTTCGGGGGGAGCAGATATAGTGAATGCAGGGTCCAGGGAGACCGGATATAGTGAATGCAGGGTCTGGGGAGAGCGGATATAGTGAATGCAGGGTCCGGGGAGAAAGGATATAGTGAATGCAGGGTCCGGGGAGGACCGGATATAGTGAATGCAGGGTCCAGGGTGACCGGATATAGTGAATGCAGGGTCCGGGGGAGACCAGATATAGTGAATGCAGGGTCCGGGGAGACCAGTTATAGTGAATGCAGGGTCCGGGGAGACCAGATATAATGAATGCAGGGTCCGGGGGAGAGCGGATATAGTGAATGAGGGGTCCAGGGAGAGCAGATATAGTGAATGCAGGGTCCTGGGGGGAACCAGATATAGTGAATGCAGGGTCCGGGGGGAGCAGATATAGTGAATGCAGGGTCCGGGGAGACCAGTTATAGTGAATGCAGGGTCCGGGGGAGAGAGCGGATATAGTGAATGCAGGGTCCTGGGGGGAGCAGATATAGTGAATGCAGGGTCCGGGGGGAGCAGATATAGTGAATGCGGGGTCCTGGGGAGCAGATATAGTGAATGCGGGGTCCGGGGGAGCAGATATATAGTGAATGCAGGGTCCGGGGAGACCAGATATAGTGAATGCAGGGTCCGGGGGGAGCAGATATAGTGAATGCAGGGTCTGAGGAGACCAGATATAGTGAATGCAGGGTCCGGGGAGACCGGATATAGTGAATGCAGGGTCCGGGGGGAGCAGATATAGTGAATGCAGGGTCCGGGGGAGCAGATATAGTGAATGCAGGGTCCGGGGAGACCAGATTATAGTGAATGCAGGGTCCTGGGGGAGCAGTTATAGTGAATGCAGGGTCCGGGGAGAGCAGATATAGTGAATGCGGGGTCCTGAGAGACCGGATATAGTGAATGCAGGGTCCGGGGGGAGCAGATATAGTGAATGCAGGGTCCGGGGGAGACCAGATATAGTGAATGCAGGGTCCGGGGGGACCAGCAGATATAGTGAATGCAGGGTCCGGGGAGACCGGATATAGTGAATGCAGGGTCCTGGGGAGCAGATATAGTGAATGCAGGGTCCAGGGGAGCAGATATAGTGAATGCAGGGTCTGGGGAGACCAGATATAGTGAATGCAGGGTCCGGGGAGACCGGATATAGTGAATGCAGGGTCCAGGGGGAGCAGATATAGTGAATGCAGGGTTCGGGGGAGCAGATATAGTGAATGCAGGGTCCGAGGAGACCAGATATAGTAATGCAGGGTGCGGGGAGACCGAATGCAGATATAGTGAATGCAGGGTCCGGGGGGGAGCAGATATAGTGAATGCAGGGTCCGGGGGGAGCAGATATAGTGAATGCAGGGTCCGGGGAGACCAGTTATAGTGAATGCAGGGTCCTGGGGGAGCAGATATAGTGAATGCAGGGTCCGGGGGGGGGGAGCAGATATAGTGAATGCAGGGTCCTGGGGGAGACCGGATATAGTGAATGCGGGGTCCGGGGAGAGCAGATATAGTGAATGCAGGGTCCGGGGAGACCAGATATAGTGAATGAATGCAGGGTCCGGGGGGAGCAGATATAGTGAATGCAGGGGTCCGGGGAGACCGATATAGTGAATGCAGGGTCCTGGGGGAGCAGATATAGTGAATGCAGGGTCCGGGGAGAGCAGATATAGTGAATGCAGGGTCTGAGGAGACCAGATATAGTGAATGCAGGGTCCGGGGGAGACAGATATAGTGAATGCAGGGTCCAGGGGGAGCAGATATAGTGAATGCAGGGTCCGGGGGGAGCAGATATAGTGAATGCAGGGTCCGGGGGAGACCAGATATAGTGAATGCAGGGTCCGGGGAGAGCAGATATAGTGAATGCAGGGTCCGGGGGGGAGCAGATATAGTGAATGCAGGGTCCGGGGGGAGCAGATATAGTGAATGCAGGGTCCGGGGGGAGCAGATATAGTGAATGCAGGGTCCTGGGGGAGCAGATATAGTGAATGCAGGGTCCGGGGGGAGCAGATATAGTGAATGCAGGGTCCGGGGGACCAGATATAGTGAATGCAGGGTCCGGGGGGGAGCAGATATAGTGAATGCAGGGTCCGGGGAGACCAGATATAGTGAATGCAGGGTCCTGGGGGGAGCAGATATAGTGAATGCAGGGTCCGGGGGGGACCGGGGAGATATAGTGAATGCAGGGTCCGGGGGACCAGATATAGTGAATGCAGGGTCCGGGGAGACCAGATATAGTGAATGCAGGGTCCGGGGGGACCGGATATATAGTGAATGCAGGGTCCGGGGGGAGCAGATATAGTGAATGCAGGGTCCGGGGGGACCAGATATAGTGAATGCAGGGTCCGGGGAGAGCAGATATAGTGAATGCAGGGTCCGGGGAGAGCAGATATAGTGAATGCAGGGTCCGGGGGGGAGCAGATATAGTGAATGCAGGGTCCGGGGAGAGCAGATATAGTGAATGCAGGGTCCGGGGGGGGAGCAGATATAGTGAATGCAGGGTCCGGGGAGACCGGATATATAGTGAATGCAGGGTCCGGGGAGACCGGATATAGTGAATGCAGGGTCCGGGGGACCAGATATAGTGAATGCAGGGTCCGGGGAGAGCAGATATAGTGAATGCAGGGTCCGGGGGAGCAGATATAGTGAATGCAGGGTCCGGGGAGACCAGATATAGTGAATGCAGGGTCCGGGGAGACCAGATATAGTGAATGCAGGGTCCGGGGGGAGCAGATAGATATAGTGAATGCAGGGTCCGGGGAGAGCGGATATAGTGAATGCAGGGTCCGGGGAGACCAGATATAGTGAATGCAGGGTCCGGGGAGACCGGATATAGTGAATGCAGGGTCCGGGGAGACCGATATAGTGAATGCAGGGTCCGGGGGACCGGAGATATAGTGATGCAGGGTCCGGGGGGACCAGATATAGTGAATGCAGGGTCCGGGGAGAGCAGATATATAGTGAATGCAGGGTCCGGGGGGAGAGCAGATATAGTGAATGCAGGGTCCGGGGAGACCAGATATAGGGGTCCGGGGAGGGGTCCGGGAGAGCAGACTATATTGACAGATATAGTGAATGCAGGGTCCGGGGAGACCAGATATAGTGAATGCAGGGTCCGGGGAGACCAGATATAGTGAATGCAGGGTCCGGGGAGACCAGATATAGTGAATGCAGGGTCCGGGGGAGCAGATATAGTGAATGCGGGGTCCGGGTGAGAGCAGATATAGTGAATGCAGGGTCCGGGGAGACCAGATATTGTGAATGCAGGGTCCGGGGAGACCAGATATAGTGAATGCAGGGTCCGGGAAGACCAGATATAGTGAATGCAGGGTCCAGGATTTAGTAACACTTTAAGGTAAAAAAAACCCCCAAAAACTTTGAGCCTTTAGAACCACTTTAGGTTTGTTGTACTTTATGTCATGAGGGAGTTAATCACACGACATACAAACAGATAAACTTCAGTTTCCTGTTGATGAGCCCTTTAACTATGAAGTCTAACAAGCCGCTCCATCCTAAGTATAGGTCTTGCAGCCGGGGAATCTGGCAGGCTTGTGTATTTCTGCACCACTCCCAGGTCTCCTTCCTACCTGATATTAATCACATGAGGAAACAATGCAAATGAGGGCAGACCCAGCCCAGGGTGTCACTACATAATCAGATGTCAGTGCGGAGATTGCCTGTCTTCTGCTGACACCATGTACTGGAGGGAGAAGTGTCTCTTGTGTGCCTGGGTGCTGCTCCTGGGCTTCCTTGCTGGAGGGAGAGCAAAGCTGTGAGTTACCTTCTCAGATCAAACAGTAGTGCAGGATTTCTGTCCCCCTTTTTATTTTATTTATTTTTTTTTTACTACTTTTAGGCATGTTTCATCTTAAGAATTCCCACTGACTTGTGCTAGGAAGGGAAGATGAATGTTCATATCCATGCATTTTAGTTGCATTTTTAGTGCGCGTTGACTTGTGTTGATCTGCGTTTTGGTGCACTTGTGAAATTTTAAGTGCATGCGTGGACACCAAAAAAAACCAAAACAACAATTGTTTATTTGTCCTGTTTACACTGCAATACTACATTGCAATAAATTGCAACTTGTATGCATTTTAATGCAACCCAAGGCAGGTCGACACAGTGCTGTAGTGTGAACAGGACACGTAACAAACAATTTTTTTAGGTGTCCATGCATTTACTTATATTTTACAAGTGCATTAAAATGGATGGAAATGTAGATTCATTTTTCCTTTCCTAGCAAATTATTAATTTAAAAAAAAAATAGAGAGAGAGTTTTTTTTTTTTTTTTTTTGTCTATGTGCTTATGTTTTAGAAGTGGGTTAAAATGCAGAAAAACATGTATTAAAATATATATTCATTTTCCTTTTCCCAGCAATTATAAAAAGGGGAATATATATATATATATATATATATATATATATATATATATATTAAAAAAAAAAAAAAACTTTTTTTTTTTTATATATTTTTTTTTTTATTTTTTTGTGTATATGCGCTTATATTTTAGTGTGCTAAAATGCAGATCAACACGCATTAAAATGTACATTCATTTTCCTTTCCCAGCAATTAATTTTTTTTTATATTATAATTGCCGGGAAAGGAAAATGAATATACATTTTAATGCATGTTGATCTGCATTTTAGCACACTTGTAAAATATAAGCGCATAGACACACACCAAAATAAAAAAAGAATTATTTATTTTATTTTATTTTTTTTTTTTGTCCATGTGCTTACATTTTACAAGTGTGCTAAAGTGTAAATCTAAGTACATGCATTTTTAGCACAAGTCATTGTGAATTCACCTTAAAATGTGTTTAAACATGCATATATGTTACATTTTAATGCTACGCAGATCAATGCAGCGGTGTAACAGGACACTTTAAAAAAAACCAAAAAAAAAAAACCCCCAAAAGTGTTAGGCTAGTTCACACTAGATGCAGTTCAATTTGGATTTAGTGTGATCAACGCATCAGTGTGATCTGGGGCTCAATGTAATTGGCCCTGGGGACTATGTCTTCCAACTGCCCATCATTTGGAAGAACCTTTCTGGGCCCTTTTTTAAATTTTTTTTTTTTTTTTTTTTTTAATCAAAAATGCATGCGCAGTGTTTTTCATGCAATCCAATGGCCCTAGTTCACACCAGTGCAGTCAGTTTCCGGTGCAGAAAAAAAAAGCATAACATGTTGTGTGTGGGGTTTTGTTTTGTGTTTTTTGTTTTGTGTTTTTTGTGTTTTGTTTCTGCACAGAAATGTACTAAAACATGGCAAACTGCACCGGAACTGCATGTGGTGTGAACTATAAGCAAAAAAACCATCTGGAATGCATTTTTGTAGTGTGAGCTGGCCCTCAGACTGGGTTCAAGTATATCTGGTGCGGTATATCACATGTCATTTGCGCAGGAACCGCACCGCATTCCTCTGCCAATCACATGCGATTTGTGTGCGGTGCGATTGGAGTCGTACATTTTGTATGGCTCTAATCGCACCGCACCGAAAACGTGTAGGACCCTTTTATTTTGGTCTGTACTAGAATCAGATTGCATGGGTTTTCACACCTATGAGATCTGATTCTGCACATCGCACTGCGTTTTGCGGAGCACTTTCAGGGTGTTAACTTATCATACACACCTGCAGCGGTTCACATGAACGGGGTGCGATTCTGGTGCGGAGTTCGCACTAAAAACGCTGCAAATTCCGTACCGCATCAGTGTGATCCCGGGCTAAAGGTGAATTCAAACAACGCAGCCCAGATGGCGCACTTCGCGTTGCTGGCTGTGCTAGGGGGCAGTGTGGCCCACAATTCAGCACATCACATGGCTATGTTTTGTTAGTGTTGTTTTCTACAAGCTTTATTTCAAGTGTACAGAACGTATGCTTCATTCACTGCAGTGTCACCCGGCACAGAGCACCACCATGTTCTGCGCTGCCCAACATTGCAGTGCGGTGCAGCCCGGTGCGCTGCAATAAAAGTGCAGCAAGTCTCCATTTTACCGCAGCATTGTAGTATAAATGCAACACACGGGAAAGCATTGTTTCCCTGCGGCGATAGATGGGTTTAACACGTGGTACAATGTCTGTGGCCCCACGTAGTGTGAATTGGCCCTAAAGTGTACAAACATTTCCCTGCACTTTAGTTCCAGTCGCTGTGAATTCAGCCTAAGCCCGGGTTCACATATTTGTGGTGCGTTATATTGCATGTGATTCACACAGGAACCGCACCGCATTCCTCTGCAAATCGCATGCCATTTGTGTGCGGTGCGACTGGAGACATACACTTTGTAAGGCTCTAATTGCACAGCATCCGTATCAAAAGGTGCAGGACTTTTTTTTTTTTTTTTTTTTTGTCCGCACTAGAATCAGATTGCACGGGTATTCGCCTCTATGCGATCTGATTCTGCACATTGCACCGCGTTTTGCAGACTGAGTTTGGAATGTTGTTAACTTGACATACACACCCGCAGCGGTCCGCGGGGTGAGATTCTGATGCGGCGCGGAACTAGTAATGAAAATGCTGTGAATTCTGCAACGCATCAGTGTGATCCAGGGCTCAGTGTAATTGGCCCTGGGGACTATGGCTTCCAACTGCCTATCCTTTGGAAGAACATTTCTGGGCCCTTTTTTTTTTTTTTTTTTTTTTTTTTTTTTTTTTCCCCCCTTGGAGTGCATGTGATCAGCACAGGGCCAATCAACACTGTCCAGACAGAGGGTCAGAGTTTATGCAGCCTCATAGGACAATCAGGTGGTGGTGGGGTTACTCTTGACTTTAGGTGGTGGTGGGGTTACTCTTGACTTTAGGTGGTGGTGGGGTTGCTCTTGACTTTAGGTGGTGGTGGGGTTGCTCTTGACTTTAGGTGGTGGTGGGGTTGCTCTTGACTTTAGGTGGTGGTGGGGTTGCTCTTGACTTTAGGTGGTGGTGGGGTTGCTCTTGACTTTAGGTGGTGGTGGGGTTGCTCTTGACTTTAGGTGGTGGTGGGGTTGCTCTTGACTTTAGGTGGTGGTGGGGTTGCTCTTGACTTTAGGTGGTGGTGGGGTTGCTCTTGACTTTAGGTGGTGGTGGGGTTGCTCTTGACTTTAGGTGGTGGTGGGGGTGCTCTTGACTTTAGGTGGTGGTGGGGTTGCTCTTGACTTTAGGTGGTGGTGGGGTTGCTCTTGACTTTAGGTGGTGGTGGGGTTGCTCTTGACTTTAGGTGGTGGTGGGGTTGCTCTTGACTTTAGGTGGTGGTGGGGTTGCTCTTGACTTTAGATGCAAGGGTGGGGTGCTCTGGACATCTAGTCTTACAGGTACACTTGGCAACCATACTGCTGTTGCAACTGGCAATTACATTGAGTTTGACACCCCTGCATTAGAGGGCCTATTGGTTCAAATGCTAAGACATTCGCACAGCTAATTATTATTATTTTTTTTTTTAATGTATAAATGGGCCCATTAGTGTCTGTACATCGGCAGATTGGGAGAAGGAGGGCAGTGCTTGCAGCCAATCAATGTTCTGCAGGCACATGTGCTGAGAGGACTGAGCAGAGGTGGCTCATCGGGATCCCGCAACTCATTCACTGTCGAGCTACAGACGGGGATGGGACCTTGCTGTCACCTTCAACGGAGAAAGATCAAGTCACAAACTGGGCTGTACTGTATGGCGGGGCTGTGTAAATTTTAGGCCTGGATAGACCAACATAAATCCTTGATGAAGCAGAAGTTCCTCTTTAAATCTCTTTTGTCTATTAGGGGGTGCTTGGAGTTGCGCATATTTACACAGCTGCAGTATGTGCCTGGATGCTGCAGAGAACTATATGCCGTGTCCAGTAATACAAAGCCAACTGGTGTGAAGTTGAACAATGGATGAAATGGTGTGTGACCGAACATTCTTCTCGTAACAAGAACGTTGGGTCACAAAAAAAAAAAACTATTGTCCTGGTCAGGACTGTGACAATGTTATCAGGGCAAAGATGTCAAGCTGCTCATTCCTATCGGCTGGGCAGCACCAACGTGTATATAATAGATGCAGCATCTGCTGACATGGGGCTCATTGCAGTCAACTGAAGCGATTAATGGCCATGCACAATACTGTCCTGCAGTAACATATGGGGCTTACAGTAGCAAAAAGGGGGGGAGGGGGGAATGTTATTGCATTGCCGTGAAGGAAAAAATGTCCTTGTGTTGGCGGTGTCGCTGGAAGGGGGGAAAAATGGTCCCTGTGTTGGCAGTGTCGCTGGAAGGGGGGAAAAATGGTCCCTGTGTTGGCGGTGTCGCTGGAAGGGGGGAAAAATGGGCCCCGTGTTGGCGGTGTCGCTGGAAGGGGGGAAAAATGGGCCCCGTGTTGGCAGTCTCGCTGGAAGGGGGGAAAAATGGGCCCCGTGTTGGCGGTGTCGCTGGAAGGGGGGGAAAAATGGGCCCCGTGTTGGCGGTGTCGCTGGAAGGGGGGGAAAAAATGGGCCCCGCGTTGGCGATGTCGCTGGAAGGGGGGGAAAAATGGGCCCCGCGTTGGCGGTGTCGCTGGAAGGGGGGGAAAAATGGGCCCCGCGTTGGCGATGTCGCTGGAAGGGGGGGAAAAATGGGCCCCGCGTTTGGCGGTGTCGCTGGAAGGGGGGGAAAAATGGGCCCCGTGTTGGCGGCGGGTGTCGCTGGAAGGGGGGGAAAAACGGGCCCCGTGTTGGCGGTGTCGCTGGAAGGGGGGGAAATATTCTGCTGCATCAATGCCCTTGCATTGGTGGCATCACTAGTGTAGCACCCTCCGTGATGGGTGCTAGGAGTACATAGATTAGACAGGGGC